TTCCTCACAGTTAGCTTTGGCCTCATGACTGAATTCTGGTCAATGGAATAAGAGCAAAAGGGCCATAGACTACTTCTAGGATGAGCCACAATTTTCCAGTCTACCCCTTTCCTGGCATTCTCCCTTCCACCAGCTTCCTGTTGATGGGTATATATTCATTCATGTGTAAAAAATGGCAGAATCACAATACGGAAGGAGTCTGAGTCCCCAGGTTAACAGTTGGAGAAGAGAAGCTAACTGATACTAAATACTGATTATGTATGGAATGAGAACAAAGTACAAACTTTAGGGGGGTAAGCAATTGATACTGTTTCTGTTGCTAATAGGATCTTAATGACTAAAGAAAGCAAGTTAACTAGAGGGGCATATAAATAATTTAAATCTAATTGGAATATTAGCCTCCTTCAAATGTTTATCAGACCTAATACATATATGGCTGAAATTCCCAGCAAATTGATTATCTCTTGATGCTCATAAAATCTATATTACATAGACCATAGCAAGAGAGTGTCTCCAGTCTCCAAAGCCCTTCCTTCCTGCCAACATCCCAAAGATTATTTATAAATTGTTATTTATATGCATCTTCCCCCATCACTACTCTATATACAAAAATTCTTAGTTCAGCAACCCACAAACAAGAAAACTAAAAACTAGAACAAATATTCCAAGAGGGGCATCACCACGTTATATCTACCACCATTACTCACTAATGTTACATTATTTGATATCTATTTCCCACAGGTGAGCTAGCCTACAACCCTATAAGCCAGTACTCTTCCAGGTCTTCCAAACTATCAGTGCCATAAAGCTTATTTAAAATAATTGACAACTCTTGGGAGGCTGAACACAGGCAGATCACCACAAGTCTGATCTGTGTAGTAAGACCCTGTAGACCCTGTACTAAAATAAAAAAAATAAAATAATCCACAAAACTCTCTACTTGTGGGCTGAGGGTGTCACTCATTTGGGAGAATGCTTGCCTGGCACACACAACATCCTGGGTTCCATCTCCAAGACCACAAAAAAGAAGATTCTATGAATTTCTCTGGACCCAGGCAAGATACTGAGGTTTTGCAGAGTCCTGTACCCACTTAGTCATTGTCTGAGAATCACCAGGCACTTCTAGTTTGCTGAAATACATTGGACAAGGAACTTTTAGAAGTATGAGGACAACAAATCTAGAGTCAAGCCAATTAGAAATAAAAATACAGAGAATATGAGTCTGGACCCCCAGTCCAAGGGCTCTGCTGAGATCTGAGCAGAGGGCACATCAACAGTTTCTACCACAAAAGAGTAGAATTATTCATTCTCTGAATCCCAAACCATAAAGTATTTATACATCATCATATACCACTCAGTAGGATAATTATAACCACTTACATATCCATCTTCCATGTTAGACCAGATTGTGCTCCGAAGTCAGATTGTATACTATCCACCTAAATATAGCTAAATTTGGTGATTTAAATATAATGACTTCTCAGGTACTGTGTGCTGAGTGAAAGATTATAAATTGATTGGATTTTTAAGGGAGTGTGATAGCACATAGAGATTCTTTGATTTGATAGGAGTCTACAATGGTCACTGTCACTTTTGTGAGAATAGCCCAATCACAGTCATAATTTCCTTCGAGGCCTCTCCTTTCCTCAGTAAGAATAGTACAGTGAAAGCAGTAAACATATCTGCTGACTTACATTTTAGAAGAAAACATAATGATCATCTTGCAAATCTCTCATTGTCTGTGGGGAAAGTCATTGTGTTTAAATCCCACTCTCCTAAACTGAGAAAGCTAGCATACTATAGTACGTTCAATACCCTTTCAACAAATGTGTAAAGCAGAACTGAGTGTCCATAGATTTAGCATACTTTAATATCGTTTTTAAAAAAGAAAAGAAACAGACTGTCTTCAACCAACTTTTATTGACCTTAAAATATTTGTTCTCATTGTTTTACAAATAAGGGAAGAAAACAACCAAGCTAGTATCACAATGACCATTTAGATGGAAGATGTATAATCCAAGAAGTCTGTCTTCAAACCTGTAGGGTACTACCACTGGTGAAAATAATGTTGTGTGGAACAATCATATATTATTCATAATTTTAAAAAATAATGAAGGTATTATGTTAAAAATATTAAGGGAATAGTCTATCAAATGCTACATGATTACAAAAAATAGGTTGAATAAATGTATTGAGGAATAAGATAATGTAAATGAAGGTTAATCTAAAGGTCAGTAGCCCAAAGCATAAAGACGCTGTATTTTGATTCTGAGATTCTTGACGAAAAGTCAGTCTGTTTCTCTGGTATGAGCACCACTTGTCTGGTAAGGCATGGTTCCTAGTTGCTTCTTAGTAATGCTCCAGGGCTAAATAAGATAAAATTTATGTGCTATGCTTTAAGCTCCATTGAGGCAAGGCACTAAATAAACTTCAGGATAATTTATAAATCCTGAGCTTGCATTAGTCATGGCCCAGTCCATCTCATAAAAGGAAGAAATTGGAGATAGAAGCCAGTACTGAGCACTTGGCAAAAAGCTCAGCAAACTTTGCGTAATGATGATATGCCACCTTATACAGAGAGAATCCTTGACTGATCCAGGAACATTTCACAACAAACCAAGTCTTTCTGTTGCCCAGATAATAGTTCACTGGCAGAACATCTGGTATATGAATCAAGGAAGTATGTTATTACATCTCTAGTCGGAGATCTAATATCTAATTTCCTTTTAATTTACCATAATTATTTTTGTAAAATTTCATGGCTTTCCTCCAGTGGATATGCTTAGCAGATATTGCCAAATTCCTGTCTTCTCTTCAATGCCACATCCTTGGGCCAGCTTCTCCCTCCCTTCCAGTTGCATTTATCTTCTTCCCTTTACCATTTAATCAGTTTCTATTTCTTACAGCAATCTGTATTGAAGAGAAGGACAAACAGTATAATTTGAAGAGTTAAGTATAAGCATTTGGAAATCCAATGCTTCTAGAAAATTGCTCTAGCTAGAAATAATGATTCAGTATTGATGCTTTTGGTTTGTTTTAATAATCACCATCCTATATGCAACTTTCAGTGACAAAGTTACATCAAATCACGTTAATTAGGACAAGCTAACTCTGCCATGCACAATCAGTTTTCCTGCACAAAATGAGTTAATGAGTTTTATTTCCAATGTCATAATTCTATGCTTTTATCAAACACTTTCTCTGGTCTGCAGAAATGTGTTTATTTGGAGTTTAAAAAAAGAAAACACTGTCCATATAAGCATGACAAACCTTGGCTAACTTTACGTGCCCACATATGGCCGGGAGGGGGGGAGAATAAGTTTTGTGTCTAAATCAAGTCAGATGCTTACTCCAAATAAAAGGCACATATATTTCAAGCACCCTTGACCTAATACTGTTTGTTTTTAGAAATACAAACTAAGGTTACAGAAAGCCATGGCTAATAGGAGGTAAAGGTAGCTGCCCTTCAGAAGTTTATCCATTTGGAGAAGAAGAAGTCAAGGAGAAAATCACTCTCCTCTGACTAATGTAGTATAATTGTGTTCCTCATGATGGTGCCCCTCAATCTTTCTCCCCTCAGAAGTTCCCATGGTTACAAAAGGACAAGGCACACACTTATATTTTTAAAACTGACAAGGCACAGGACCGTAACACAAACTCCTGTGGTTAGTCTGAATTTGTCATTTTGCTTTTGAGAGTTTCCTATCCACCCACTTAACCCAGCACCTCATACGCAATGAATAATGGCTTGGGGGTGGGGAGTGCTTCTACTAAAAACCAGAAAATGCCAGGTAACCACTTTAATGCCATTAGAATTTTATCTAACGCACACCCACATGCTAAAAGATAGAGGGTTTCACTTTAAAAGATAGTGCTCTAAAGATCAAACACATTGCACTGTCCTTTCATACAGCAACCTTAAAAGACTTAAAAAGTAAAAATGGTATTCTTTAGGTCTATGCAGGGAACCTTACATTGAACCAATATATTCTGAAGTTTCTCCAATCAAGAATTATAAAAGTAATTTTCTTCTGACGAGATACAACTTTAATAAAAGGGCATCTCTTCCCCCCTCAATGCATTGTTTATCCCTTTGCACCAAAGGCAAATGGAAGCCACATGATCCTAACAGGAAATCAAAAAATTCTTTTCTGCATAAGGAGCAGAATTCATACATGCAAGAGTAATGAAACAAACTGGAACTGGGCCAGAGAACAGTTTCCAGCAGACAGATGATCACTGAGGTTCACACAACTAGGAAAAAGCGTTTGGGCATTTCATCCCTTAGCTTCCCTGCTGTGTGACTGGGAGCTTTCACTTCTGAAACTTAATGACATGTCCCCTTCTTTCCTATTTGATAAACTCAAATCCCTTAACCTAAGACATTCTGCCATCTTTGTTCATGTTGACTTGCACAGGGCGATCAATGGTATCAGCTGAAAGACATAAGGCACATTTTCACTCCAGCAGACTCCAAAGCTGAAGGCAAGAACCTCATTAAAAACTATGAAGACAACAATATGCAATATTAAAACTGTCCTACTAATTGGTTTTGAAAACTGTCTCATTGCTATTTGTTTCTCAATAAAATTAATTTAAAAATTGTAAAATAGAGATTCAACATATTTCTTATTTAACTATCTTAGCATTAAGAAATAGTGTGCAATGACTATCTAGCACTATGTCCCACAGAGAGCAAGGTCTTCCAAGTGCCCATACACATGTTGTCATCACTGAGAATTAGACAATTAATAGACTGAACATTTTATGGTCACATCCTACAGAGTCACCCTGTAAAGCAAATCTATAGTAAATTGGCAGGTACCACCTAGCTGTGACTAACACACTAAAATAGACAATAAGAACAATTCAGTGAATCACCTTTTAGCAAAAGTAGCCTAGGGATTTTTTTTTTAATTTCTTTCTTTCTTTCTTTTCTTTTTTTTTTATGGAACCAGGGATTGAACCCAGGCCCTTGTGCTTACCAGGGAAGTGCTTATTCCACTGAGCCATCTCCCAGGCCCCTATGGGATTTATTTTTTGTTGGTTTGATTTTCTAAAGATACATACTTGGTTCATTTCATGTGTTCCCATTTTCAAGCCTATGACTCTGAACAGATACTGTTTAGATCCAAGCGAGTTATCTACCTAAATAAAGAACACACTCTAAAAATAAAAGTCCTCAAAGGAATATAGGCCTAAAGTAGTGGGTGATGAATACTCCGTGCTGCCTCTGCTGGAACCAGGCAGCTGTCTCAGGATGGCAGAAATCGAATGTGCAGCTACCACAATCTGCAGGAGTCTGCACCTCTGTTCATCGTAGAATTAGGTGGACAATTAAAAGCTTTCTGAAATTCTTCGAAGTTACTAACAGCACCATTGACCCTGAAAAAAAAAGATATGGCAAAACATATTTTGTTTAACACATGTGCATCAAAGGATGAAACTATCCCAGCATAATGCTACAAAAGATCTTGGCATGCATTTAATCTGTTCTCAAACATAAGCAAAACCTTAAATCATTAATTTCCAAAGAAATTAAAAGCACTGAGATTAGAACCAGTATCTCCTGAATGCCAAGCATATTCTGCTCCTTTTTCCAACGTTCTTTAAACATTTTTTAAACCTAAACTTTTTTGTGGAACGCATAACTGATATAAGCTGCACAAGTCTCAAATGTAGAAATCACTCATTTTTGCGTGTATAACTATGGTACTACCATTCAAATGAACGCATAGGGTATTTCCAACACCTTAAAGCCTTCTACATGTACCCTACCAATAGTGTTTCTGAAGATAACTACTGTGACCTATATCACTATAACTGTGCCTTCATTTAAACTTGATGCGAATGGAATAGTTCCTAGTTCATAGTCTTTGGTCTTTGACTTCTTTCACTCAATATGTCTTTAAGAGTCATCCATATTGCTTCATTTTAAACTGTATTTAAATAGTCCATTCAATCTATCCATAAAAAAACACTTTCTCTAAATTCCCATTAGAGTTTAGAGGTTCACATTTATCTAGAATTTGGTTAATGCAACAATCAACCAATGAATAATGTCTAGCTGTTACAGATGAGTAATTCTTTACTGGAGTTTATTTCTAAAATCTAGTTGTTCTTGCAAGTTCCACAGTGCAGTAGACTGTGAATTCCTACTCAGCACTTTGATTGTAACTGTCTTTTGGAATTGGTATTTCCATTGTGTGATTTTTCATTGCATTCAAAATCTGTAGCTACTGCAGATATCAGTAACAACTCAGGCAAAAAAAAAATTATACCTCATCTATTTCATACTCAACTGTACGTCCAAAGGGCTGGATAGAAATTCTGCATTCTCAGTCACTGACTATTTCTTATCTAATGACTTTGTTACCTACGGGCATTTGAATCAATGTAATGGCCTATAGCCTCCAAATTCTCATAACCTCTTGTGTTTTAACTAGGATATATGGATAGCAATGTATATTTCATAGTGTGATTCACCCTAGGCAAGTGTTAAAGATAGAATTTAGCTGATAATTAGTAAGCATACTCTGTAAATTCTCAGCTAAAATCTGACATTATAGGCAAATAGTTAGTAAAAGGAAATTAGTTTCTAAAAACTTATGTGTTGAGCAATTAATCTATTATGTGGTTTCTTGTGCACCATTTGTCAGTAAGAGCATATTTTAGTCCATTAGAAACTGTCAGCCTACATGACAGTTTAGCACAGTGGGGGAGAATTTCTAATACACTGATTAGATTTTTACATTGCTGGGTAATACATAGATAATTTTTGAAGCATTTATAAGGCAAGGTTTTAGAAATAAGATTTTAAGATATAGAAGAATTTTAGATGGCTTTCTTCCACTATACTAATGGATTCATTTAAATATTATATGCAAAGATATCCAGGTTAATATGTTCTAAGCAAGTAATGAATAATAATAAATTACTATGATTTCTCATTATAATTATCTACCCTCTACTATAGGAAATTTCTCTCAAGCTATGGATTCTAGTGCAGAGTAAGTAATATCAACCTCAATTTTGCTTTTGCTTAATATTTCATACATTCTGACATTAAGACAATAATTCATAATATTTTCCCTTCATATGTAAACAGTTATTTCAAAGCATGATGCTAAATAAAAGCCAAAAAGAAGTGTCCTTGACTCAAAGGTATGAATTATAACTGCTAAATATCACCATGTGTTTTCATTTGTGTTTAGAACTATTCACAAAATGGGCATTCATTTAAGTTTGCTGGTTGTGTGAAAAAAATAGGTATCAAATAACATTCTTTTATATGAAATAAACCAGAGCTCTGAGTGTTTTAAAGAAAGGACATCATAGGGCTAATGAGATAGCCAGTGGACTAAGCAACTGCTTAGGCAAGCACAGGAATTGGGGTTCCATCCCTGGCACCACATGCTGCACTGGCCACACCCCCAGGCACACTGAGCTGGCCACCAAAACTGGGCGTGATGGCACATGCCTGGAATCCCAGTGATGGGGAGACTGAAACAGGAGGGTCACTAGGAGTCCAAGCTGCGTAGTGAGATCTTGTATCAAATACACTACATAAAATGAAATAAAATAAAGAGAGGACATCAGATCACATGCTCTTCTGAGACAATAAAATCTATTGGTGGGCGTAGACAAAAAAAGTTGGGTAAATTAAATATTCCAATCTCTTGAGCACCTAGCATCTTAAGACTACTGCTGCTCAATAAATAGCATAAACTAATTGGACTTTAATACTAACACTATGATCTGGATTCCAAATTACTTTTGGAGTCTCACATATCTCTTGATGTGAAACAAAACTAGAAATGCTACTGCTGCCTTTCGACAAAAGTTTAGCTTGAAAAACAAAGTATAAGAAGTAAAGCCATAGTGTTATGGTGAGCTGTAGGGGACTCAGGTCAACAATTTCTGACATTGCCAGTCAAGTGGAAGACCCAATACTATTATGGGCTACTGGACTCTTTTAGGATATTTTGCTGAGATAACACACCTATATATTCAAATAATGGAACTTAACAGAAAAAGAGGATACCGATGAGTGTCCATTTTGTATCTGTGTATTCAAAATGGTTAGGATAGATACATAGTTACATTCTCTTAATGAATAGAGGGATTTGTTCTAATGGTGTTTGTAAATAAGATATCATGTCTGCATCTTGTACAGCAATTAACCACTAGGAAGAATGTATGCAATGTGTTAATTATTGCAATTGTCCTACCAATTTGGTTTGAAACTGTCTCATTGCTATTTGCTTCTCAATAAAATTATGGGGAAAAAAGAAAAGAAAATTACTGAGTAACACAGTTTACTTCTTTTTATTTAAATTTTAGTATTTGGTATAGGGTCTCACTACGCATGTTGGACTTGCAGTTATCCTCCTGTTTCAGCTTCCCTACTGCTGGGATTACAAGCATGTGGAGATCAAACCTGGGTCCCTGCACTTGCCAGACAGTCGCTTAGACTGCTGAGCTATCTCCCCACTCCCTCCCCAGTTTACTTCTATGAAAGAAAATATACTAGTTTCTGTACAGCCAGATTTTGTTGTCTGCAGATGCAAGGCATCGTGGTTCACAATAAAGGCTTCTGTACAAACCACCTATCTGGTAGTGCACTGAGATAGTTAGGGCAGGGGAACGAGTGGTGATGCACAGTTAAAATCAAGTGTCTCCCATTTGATCATTTACCTAAACTGAGGGGGGCTGTGAGCACCAATTTGGACTTGTTCTCTGGCAGCTTCTGGTCTGTAGGAATTACACCTCACCTGAAAAATAAAGGCATCCCAATTAATATGCTTCCACTCCAATTACACCTTTTATACTTTCTGAACTATTCCTAATTATGCTTTAGGATAATTTTACAATCAGTGGATGACAAACATTTTTAGATCAGAGAAAACCTTCATCAGTAGTAATATCTATTATTCTAATCCCCACATGAAATGGTTTTATCAATGTGAGGAATTCCACAATTTGAGTAAATTAACAAGGCTTTTAGAAAGGTACTTTAAATCAAGAGATTCATAAATATGCCCAGGAACTGAGCAATGTATGCATTCAACTAATTTCATGCTTTAAATGGCTTTTATCAGGTTTTCCCATACCCATCTGAATCAAAACAAGTCAGTCATTAACAACTGAGTATGGTTATGAGAAGTTTCTGTTTTGCTCCCTGAGAACCCAATTGCCGTGCTCTACAATAGACCTGAGACAGGAATACACTTGTGCATTTCTTTTGATGTTAAATATGCTTATTTGACTTGTTCTGAACAAAGGAATGTGAGCAGAACTGATAAATGTCACTTGGTGGCAGAAGCTCAAAAAAACTGACTAAAGTTTCAAGGACCTTAGTAACAAATTAAGAACCTACATTGTCAATGCAGGTTTGACATTTCTTCCTATTTCTTTCTTACTCCTGTGGTGACCATAGAAGAACCTGTCAATATAAAACTCCAAAACATTGACTTTTGAATGAAAATTACAGGCAGAGCCTCACTACTAATTTATGTTGGGCTTGAGGTATGAACAAGAAATATACTTTCCTTATGTTGGCTTTTTCTGCAGCAAACCTACCTAATCCTGACTTAAAATGGTGTGAAATATGACATGATCCTGAAATATGAATATAAGTAGGTGTTATGGTTTGTGTCTACATGTCCCCCCACCCACCGAAGCCTCATTAAGTCATGGGGCAGTCTTCTAGCACTTGTGATTGATTCATGGTCCAGCGCTGGGATTACGGGTATGAGTGCTACACCCATCTGGGTCACGTAGCCTGCATACACTGTAAGGGAGCGAAAGAGCTTTGCTCTTGCTGCTCCTCCCTTTTTGCTCTTTTTGCTTTTGATATTTTCTGCTGCCATGAACTGTTGTCCTTTGCCATGTGCCACACTGCCTTGGAGCCTGCTGAGTATGCACTGAAACCTACACGAACTGAGCAAAATAAATCTCTGCTTCCTTAATTCAGAGAAGCAGGTATTTTGTCTTAGCAATGAAAGAAAAGTAACTAGGACACTAGGAAATATTAAATGGGGGGTATTCTGAGTGAAAGGACAATGAGAAAATAACTAAGGAGTGAAAAACCAAGACACTCCACATGGCTGGAATACATGGGTATAACTGGCAGCAGTGAGGGACCAGGTTAGACAATGAATGGTACCAGATTTTTGAAGTCTTGAGCAACGGGCCAAAATGTTTAAACTCTATTTAGTTTTGAGTAGGAAAATAAAATCCGTATTTTCAAAGATTTATCTGGCCACAGTATATGGTAGGAGGAGAAAATTAGACTCATTTGAAGATTATTTATGGGCAGCAAATGACCACTAAATAAGTAGAAATGGAAATGAAAAGAAGTACAAGAATAAGAAGAATACCTGAGAAAAGGAACTGACAGACCACAGCAAGGGATACAGGAAACAGCTAACACGATACGATGCTATTGCCTTGGATGAAGAGCACAGTCACTGTGCTTCCAAATTTGATTTTGAAGGTGTTTTTATAATATGATTCCTTAATTTCCTCAGAAGTTAGGTAATGTGAACTTGTTTTCAGCATTCTATTTTACTTCATTGTTCTTACGTTATTTCTACCTAGATTCACAAATTATAATATAGTAGTGTCTTTGTTTCATATGTCAATTAAGAGATTTTTGAAAACACATTGCAGTTGGTGCTGTCTCCCTAGTACTTTCCCAGGAGGGAAATTAAGTTTGTTCTATATATGCAAACTTATCCCAATTTTCAAAAGACTGAAAATTTCATTCTGTCAAGGGGAAAACTCAAAGATAAATGTATCATTAGTGATAAACATATCTTTCCAATTTTCAAAAATATCTTTGGTTTAAAATAGGTCAGATAACTGATAATTGTTATATTTTTCTGATGTAAAACATAGGTCAGATACTGTTTGGTATCATATATGGAAACATTTTCAATTTACAACTATTACATCACTGTCAATTAGTTTATTTCATCTATGGAAAGGTATAATGGACTAGAATGTAAATAGCAAGAAGACAGATACCAAATACTTTAGGCTTTGAAGATCACAAGATTTCTGTTGCAACTAATCAACTCTGCCACTTTAACACTAGACAGACTATAAGTAGATGAAAAAATGTGGCTGTTCTTCATTAAAACAGTATTTACAAAAGAGGCAGCAGCCAGTTTGCCAATTCTAACCCTAGAAAGTTTTATTCTTGTGTGTGTGTTTATTTTAATATTTGGCCCAGTGCTCACTGAAAGGGAAGTCCCCTTCCTTAAATTTTGTTAGTCTTAGAGTTGTTTTAAGCAACTGATTGAAAAGCACTAAGTATGTACAGTGTATCAGGATTTAGATTACTTGTGGAGAAAAAACTGAAAATCTTAAACATTTTGAAAGCAACTAAGTCCTCAACTGCATGTTAGGGAAGGGAAGTGTAAAATGAAATAGAGATAAAAGAAAATAATGAAGACTAGAGTCCTTTGGGAACTTTGTGGAAGATGTAAAGGAGGCAAATCTTGATGGGGTTGAAGTTAGAATTGACTAATACGAGGGAAATAAGTAGGAAGGAGAGGGGCTGGAGAGATGGCTCAGTGGTCTAAAGCACCTACTTGGAACAAACTTGGCAAAGTACAAGGACCACGGTTTGATCCCCCAGCACCACATGCCAGCCAGCCCTGGCCCCTGGTGGGCTGAGCTGGCCACACACACACACACACACACACACACACACACACAAATAAATAAATGTAAAAAAAATAAAAATAAAAAAGTAGGAAGGAGAACATATTATAAAAGATGCATCTGAAGCAAAGCCACAGAGATAGTAATGAGCATAACATCACGGGGCAGGAGCAAGGAGAGCTGCCTGGTAAGGGCTGAGTTTTTCTCATCAAACAGATCTGTGGGAAATTAAAGTGAATCAGACAGAGATGGTCAGGCAGAGAACATTGGAAGACCAGTGGAGGTGTTTGGCCTCAAAGCAGCAGACATTTGGGAATATGCTGGAGGATCAGTAATGAAATAGAAGTAGTCATTCAGTGGAGGCTTTGGGAGGTATTAGGTCATGAAAGTGGAGCCGTCTTGAATGGGATTAGCGCCTGTAGTTACCACAAGAGGCCAGAGAGTTACTTAGCTCTTTGCACCACATAAAGACACAGTAAGAAGTCAGTAGTCTGCAGTCCAGAAGAGAGCCTTTACCTGAGCCCAACTGTACAGGAACCCTGAACTCAGACTTGCAGCCTCTAGAACTATGAGAACTAAATTTGTTTTAGAAAACAGCCTAGTCTATGGTGCTGTATTAGTGGCCCATTAGTGGCTGCTGAAAGCAGGGGAGAAGGACAGGCTGCATGTAAAGCTCATGTAAAAGGTGAAGCACCTAGCTTTGGGGATACATGTCACAAAAATGAGAGTTAATCAATTAAGATGCAAGAATCTAGGCTTGTTAATCATAAAGATGGAATGACTAGAGTATATTGAAAAAGAAAGTCATGTTGTTTATAGCTACCATTTTATTGGCATCAGGTTGCAACCTTTTGTGGTGGCAGCAAAGATCAGAAAGCAAGAGCAAATGGGAGTAGCTGCAACAATGGCAACAGAAAGCAAGTCTGTCTCCCTTATTTTGCATTCAGGCTACACTCCCCATGCTGGGTGTAGTACTGACACCCATAATCCCAGCAGCATTCACACCCATAATCCCAGTGGATCATGAGTTAATCACAAACTCTAGAAGTCCCCACCTCATTACTGCATGAGGCTTTGGGGAGACAACTAGATACAAACTATAACACAAGCCAATTATCAATGATCAACCTGACACAAAGCAGTGCAACAACCAGTAACAGAGAAGTAACACTGGCTTCATTATCCAGAGACTTAAATTCAGAATTATAACTTATTTAATTCACATTTTCATTTTAATTTCTGCTCTAAGGACATATCAGACTTATAAAAGAGTAGCATAACTTTCTTTTCCTCTGTTGTGCCCTTTCCTGCTCCAATGGAAATATTAGTTTGACATTTGGGAACCTAGCCATGGCTTGAGTGATAGAATAAAGCAATACAGTAAAGGAAAACAGAATATAGGAAAGGGTAGGGCCAGGAAAGCCAAAGAGTAAGTTATTGGAAATGGTTACAAATGCTATTGAGTACATTAAGAACCCAAACTATATTGAAGAAATATCAAGTGAGTTAACAGAGCTGGTAATCTACAGGATTAAAAAACACCAATAAACCTCCATTTTATTGGGGAATTACTTAGGTCCCATAGAACTTTAAAAGATGGAATCTACCCTGAAAATAATCAGCCAGACAAAATTTTAGTTAAAGTCATAGTCATGCCATTAAACATTTTTTCCAAACCATTAATCAAGGGCATAAGCTAAAGTCCCACATCTCATCTCAGATGCATCTTTGTCAGTCTACTCACATGAGCATAACTGAGGAAGAAGAGCTGGTTGTTGGTGAACGAGATTCCTGGTAAGAGAGGCTCTTCAACTCCCTGTCTTCTGTCATTAATCCATTTCCTATAAGCCTGGTAATAAAAGCAGAATAGTTGCATCCCTATAATTAGAGTTTCTCCATTTTCTTATAGAACACAGAGATGTTACTCATACATTCTTGTCATGTACTAAATGCATTGTCAAGTTTTCTCTTAAAAAAACAAACACCTAGAAATGCAAGTCAATATCCTTTCACTTAACTGTGAGGTACATACACATGCAAAAAGGCTTTACACTCGATAAGTATCAGAGAAGCTTTTTTAAAAAAGTCCTTTTCTAATTGATTCCAACATGGGACAAACAAATCTAACACTAGTAAGTTTCTTAGTTTGGGATCAACATATTATCTGTCATAAAAAGCACATTATCTGTTTTCTTTTTGCCAACTCACATGAAAAACTACCATCTTCTATCACCATGACTTTATAAAACAAAATGTATCTGAACTAGAATGTAGAAAGGCTGTGTAACCCTGGAAAAATAACTTACACTTTAAAGAAAATGCACTTCATTTTATGAAATATCCTTGTGTTTCATGCTTAACTACAGAGCAAGGGATGATCAAAGCACTATAATGGACTCTTAATAGGACCAGAATATGGGAACCACTAGCCTTTGGCCATAATCTAGAAACTTGGTACTTTAAGAGACCATGATAATGCAGGATATAAAGAGAATTGTATTCACGGAAAATTCATTTGTACCTAGCCACAAGGAACTTTCTGCAGCATACTTTGAAATGATTGTGAGAATACTTTCTGAAAACTATCTGTTAAATACATGATCCTTAATGACAAATATTATTATTTATGGTGACTTTGTATCCCAAAAAGAAAAAGAAAGAGAAATGTACCCGTTTATATAATAGGGTGTAATAGAATCAATGGGGCAATACAAGTCCACTTCCAGATATTCTATATTATTCAACTTTCCAGAGCATCTCTGTGGTGTTGAGAAGCATCCTTATACAATTTTATAATTTAATTTTTTTATTATAGCAAATGTAACATTGCATACCCTAAAAGCTTCCCTCAGACCTCCATTATCGGCAATGTTTTCTCCCAGTGTCCTTTTCCCCTTCACCTAACAGAAAGGAAAAAAGAATAAAAGAGTATTTCATGGTCAAATATAATTCAGCAAGAGACATAAATATTACAGCAAGCAAAAGCATCTTATTTTATGTTATTTTTTGTTATCTAAAAAGAATACAAAATAGCAAAAAAAAAGATACAGAACTTCAACACAAAAATCAGTAAGAATTCAACGATGGTTGCTGTATTGCATAATAATGTGTTCAAATTAGTTGTTCAGATTACCCGATATAAGCATGAAAATTTGGGAAAAATTCTTATAAGAAATTTAAAATGACAGGGAAAAAAAAGAGAGAAAAATTTAAACATTGACTATTCATCTTTGAAAAGTGTCATATTTTAAAGACAAAATTAGAGGGCTGGCCAGATAGCTCAGCAGACTAAAGTGCCTGCTTAGATAGAGTGCAATGGCCGGAGTTCAATTCCCAGCATGCCATGCTGGCCCAACCCCCAGAGCTGGCTGAGATGGCGATTGAGACTGGGCTTGGTGGTGAATGCCTGTAATCCCAGCACTTGGATCCTGAAAACAGGAGAATCACTATAAGTCCTATCTGTAGACCCTGTACTAAAATACATTTCTAAAAAAGACAAAGTTACATTCAATAAATCAGAGGTAGGCATAATATATTGTGAGATAGAAAACTAACCCTAGTAATGTGCTCCTGAATGTAACAATTTCTGTTTTATTATGCTACATACTACTTTCTCAGTCTTGCCTTTATTCTCACCAATTTATTCTGCTCTAATAACATATTAGTGATATTCTGAGTGACTGGGGTTTTATTGGTGAAAACCAGAAATGTCAATACACATATTACTTTCTCTGATTAACTCACATAATTTGAGTATTCAACTAATCATGCTTGTATTCCCCAAAATTTTTCATCTGCACAGGAACAAGATTTCAAGACCAGCCATTATCATTTTACCTTCAGCAAATTCTATGAAAAATTAAAAGGAGTGTAGCCCTCTTGGGGGAAAAATCGAACAGAAATAGTGTAGACCGCAAGGTCAAGCTTTCAAATATGTATGACATCCAGCCAAGCGTGGTGAAGAAATTCTTCCCAACGTTTGAAAACCTTTCTTAAAGCCTTAAATAAGCTAAGACAAAAATATTCTAAATCAATACAGCTCACATAACAAAGCCAATCAACTACTTTTTTTTATATAGATGGCAAGGTATGAGAGGACTTCAATTTTTCAGTGATTAGGGGAAAAATGAAAAGAACAGTAATATTTTGTATCTCAGAAAAATTATTAAATTCAAATTTTAGTGTATATAAATCAAGAGCTGTTTTGTGGAACAAGACCATGCCCATTCATAAACATACAACCTATGGTTGCTCTTTTACTACTGTGGCAGAGTTTAGCAGTTAAAATTTAAACAATATAACCTAGACAGCATTAATTATTTACAGAAAAAATTGCCAACCTCCACATATTAGGCAGAATAATGGCTTGGAAAAGTTGTGTACATCCAGACACCAGAAGCCTGGAAACATTTTACCGTACAATGGCAAAGGAGACTTTTTTATTTTTCTTAATAATTTTATTGAGAAACAAATAGCAATGAGACAGTTTCAAAACTGATTAGTAGGACAGTTTCAATAATTAATACATTGCAAATTGTTGTCTTAGTGGCTATTCATTATACAAGATGCAGACATGATATCCTGTCCACAGACACTATTAGAACAAATCTATCTATTCATTGAATTAAGAGAGAGCAGCTATACATCAGTCCTAACTATTTTGAATATACAGATACAAAATGGTCATTAATTTCTATACCCCTTTTTGTTTAGTTTTGTCAGAGAAGGGTATTCCATTATCATTTAAATATTGTAGGTGCGTGAATTCAGCAAAATACTCCAATATATTCCAATAGTATTCAGTAGTCCATAATAGTAGTGAGTTTTCCGTAAGACTGGCAATGTCAGAGTTGTTGACTTGAGCCTTTTACAGCTCAGCATTTTAATATGACTTTACTTTTTATACTTCATTTTTTACTTTTCTGCTGGATGGTTAAGACCAAGATGAAGCAAGACCTATAGAACAAGAGATGTAACTATTGTATCTGCCAAGGTCAGTCAAGTCCCCTCAGGATTTCTCCTGAAACCCTGTACTGCAGTTCGTAGATCCTTTGTCAGTGTCAGCCCTGTGGATGAGTCATGGCCATTGCTTGGCCAATGTGCTCTCTGTGAAAGCCTGACAGAATGTTTTCTCTCCATGTGACTCTCCTTAGGCACACTCTACATCATCGATCACTTTCCTCTTTGGTCCCATAATCTCCTTGATCAGAAAATTTGGGAAACTACCGAGTTACATGATATTACAGTACAGGTTCTCATATGTCCTGAGTCTTCACTAACTTTGAAAGGCTAGGGTCAAAATATTGGCTGTCCTTTCAGCCCCTCTTTTTCTCTAATTTTTGGTCTGTAAACCTAGGCTGTTAACCCTCCAGGAGAGAAGCTTATTATTATTACTCTACAACATAGGCAGTTGAGCTTAACTTCACTGTCTGTCTGAATATCAAACATCTTAGACATAACTTGGAACAGGTATTTTCCATCAAGTATTGATATGTTAAACGTTGAGTCCCTACAGAATATGAAGAAAAAATTAAAATTAAAAAAATAAAAATATTTCAAAAAATAGGAATAAACAATTCCATATTTTTACACAGAAGTTTAGAAATCTAACCATATACAGGATTGTAGCAGGACAGTACTATGACATTTTTTTCTTGTCACTTTTTTTACATTTATTACTCTTTTTTAAAACAAACATTTACTTGAGAGACAGTATGGCAGTAATTGTTATGTCATGACAAGCAGTACATATTTAGAAGACCAGAATGACAGGCATTCCAAGCATGACCCTACTATTACACATTGCTCTCTTCAGTGCAGTTGCTTAGTTTACAGGTATCAACATATATAGTTAGTCAGGGTGAGAACCCTACCAATTAACTGCTAGTTTCAGAAACCTGATGGAGATTCTCAGGATCATTGCCTTAGCCATCTTGTGCATATAAATGTATGGATTTGCCCCGTCATGTTACCTATCTTTTCTCCTTACCCTCTCTTTGTTGCCTAATCCTCAAGTTCTCACTTTCCTTTTAATTGTGTTATACCTTTCAATATTTATTTCTTCTTCTGAGATCTTATACTAGGGAGACTATACAACATTTACACATGTGGGTATGGTTTATTTCACTTATGAGTATATCTTCAAGTGGCATCCACTTATATATAAAGGCTTCAAGTTTATCATTCTTTATAGCTGAGTAATACTCAATTGTATAAAAATATCACATCTTTTTCATCCATTCCTCAGGTGATAGGCATCTTGGTTTGTTTCCAAGATTTGGCTATCACAAATTGTGCTGCTATAAACATAGGCACACATATATCACTATGATATGATGTTTTCAGATCCTCTGGGAAAATTCCCAGTAGAGGAACAGCTGGTTTAAATGGGATTTCCAGACCAACTTTTCTAAGGAGTCTCCACACTGATTTCCATAATGGTTGCACCAGTCTACATTCCCACCAGCAATGGAGAAGGGTTCCTTTTTCCCCATAGCCTCTCCAACATTTGTTGTTGGTTGATTTCTTTCTGATATCCATTCTTTCTGGGGTGAGATGGTGTCTCAGTGTTGTTTTAATTTGCATTTCATGGATGACTAGTGATGTGGAGCATTTTTTCATATATTTATTCACTTCTTTAATTTCATCCTCTAAGAAGTGTGTGTTCATCTCAGATGCCCATTTCTGGATTGGGTCTTTAAATTTTCGGGTGCTTATGTTTTTTAGTTCTTTATAAATTCTAGAGAGCAGATCTTTGTCTGACTGCTTATTAGTCAAGATTTTTTTTTCCAAATTTGTGAGTTGTCTTTTCACTTTGTTGGCAACTTCTTTTGACGTGCAAAGACTTCTCAATAAGAGGAGTTGTTAATTCTTTGAAGTATTACTCATGCAATTTGATTTTTGTTCATGAACTCTTTGCCTACCCTTATGTCTTCAAGCGTTCCTCCTACTTTCTCTTCCAGGATATTTAGTATTTCTGTTTAATGTTTAGATCATTAATCCATTTTGACTTTAGCTTAGTGCAAGGTGATAGACCCAGGTCAAGTTTTAGTTTTCAGCATGTAGAGAGACAGCTTTTTCCAGCACCATTTGTTAAAGAGGCTATCTTTCTTCCAGGAAGCATGTTTGGTGCAACAATGGAGATTTTTAAAATATGATTAAGCCAAAGATCTTGAGAGGGAGACATTATCTTGGATTATACACATGGGATCAATGAGGTTACAAGGTAACTTATAAGAAGAAACGGTGGAGCAAGTGAGTGAAGGCAGATAATGCAATATAAGAGGACTCTACCAGCCACTGCTAGGTAGCAAGAAGGCACGGACCATGACCCAAAGCATTTGGGCAGCTACTGACTTTTCTAACAGTTAAAAAAGGCAAGGGGAGAGACGTTCCAGTAGTGCCTCTAGAAAGGAACAGAGCTCTGTGAACATTAATTTTAGGCCACTAAGATTTGTAACAGACATCTTAGATACAGAAATGTAAGATAATAAATTTATGTTGCTTTGACAACTATTGAGTTTATAGTAATTTTTTATAATAGCAATAAGAGAGAGAGACATCCCCTGTTCTAACCTTTCAAGCCATGGAGCCTAGCAACTGTTTACTTTCACACTTGCTAGCTTAATTGCACAGGGATCAAGAACCATCAACACATAAGAATGAATCTTTGGAAAACATTATGCTCAGAACCAACTTTTCTTCATTTTCATTTGACTGTTTCTGTGTTTGTGTTTTGTTTTATTTTCATATGAGTTTTGTGGGGTGCACAGAATTATCTAAATCTAAAAAAAAACCCAGATTATGTATTGCAACCACTGAGGAGCTTCTATAGCTTTAGTTTCCCAAAATTACCATTCCTGTTTCACATTCTTTTACTACAGTCTTATGAGGGAAGTATTATCACCACCATCTTTGTTTAGTAGTGTAGAGCAGATATTGTAGGTACCCAACTGAATCTCTGTTTGTATCAGGTCTATGCCCTCAGTGCCACAACTGCTAACACCTTAGGAAGATTAACTTCAGTTTCCAGGAGTCACCATGGGGATTGTGGAACAGCCCAGGCCCTTAACCCAGGACTGAGCGTTTTTGTGCTGTGCTTCATGTTCTGGAACCCTCTATGAGGTCAGGTTAAGGCTTACCTTTTTCTGAAATCAACATGTTTTCCTGAATCGCTTTTAGGTTTCTCATTAAGCTACTTCCTCAATAATTCACTAACCTATAATACCCTTTATTGGGCTACACTTCTAGTATATTCAAACCCAAGGTCACCTGTCTCCAGGGTATTTGTTTGATATTATGTACCTTCTGAAGTACTGATTCTCACTGGTTTCTAATGTTTATATCCACTTATACTTAAGCCTACCTCCTTCCTTTTTACTCTAAACTTTAAATCTAAATTAGAGGACTTGAGAGTAGCCCCATTTGTCTGATTCCTCACACTCTGGATCATCTCAGTAAAACACAGAGCCCTAGACTGGGCCTCACGAGATTCAACAGCTGCTGACAGCTGGCATCTGCAGTACTCAATCCAAACTCCTAATTTACCACAGCAAATAATTCAGGCACAGAAAGCTGACTCTTACAAAGCCACAAAACTAAAGCATGACCCTCTATGGCCACTGAGGAAGCCACCCACACACTGTGGGAATGAGACTGGAGCTTTTTTCTGATGGTTGAGTGGATTTTTGCTGAGACAAGCATGCCCTTTCTGTAGTCCTTGTAACAAAGGCACATATTTGTCAGAATTAATTTCAATATACGACTCTGTGGGGAAAATGGATACTAAGGAAAAGTCTACTTATACATCACCCAGGTATAAAATGAACTCAAAATAAGAGAATCCCAGTATAATATAGAGGAGAGGGGAATACGTACTCTGGAGGCACACAGATCTAAACTCTAATCTAAATTCTCCCTTGACCATTAATTTCTGAGCCTCAACTTCCTCATATGTAAAATATGTCTGCCTAGGGTTGCATTTATTTCAGTGAAGTGAAAATTCTAATTTCCATGTCTACAGATAATAATCATAAGGAAATATGAATTTTCTTCCTCTAAGAAAACTTTTCTTAGTTTGACCCCAAATTCTTTGGTTCATTTATTCATGGAGTGTGGCACCTGAGTGTACTACAAGGAATCAGGAACATTAAAATTTGTTTACTGAGCACTTCCTACATGGAAGGCATTTTGCTTGTTACTCTCCCTCATTTAATTCCTACAACAAACTAGAGTTCATAGTTACCCATTTCACATATGTGTCACTCACCCGTGTTCATAAGCCCAATTTATTTTTTTGCTTGACATACAGTATTTGTCTATATTTATGGGATAATACTTAATGCTTAGATACAATGTATTATGATCAAATCACATTATTAAGTGTTATCTGTCACCTTAAACTTCATCATTTCTTTATGATGAATATACTCAAAATTCTATTTTCGGGGCTGGAGAGATGGCTCAGTGGTCTAGGGCACCTACTTAGAACAAGCTTAGCAAAAGCATCAGGGACCGCGGTTCAATCCCCCAGCACCACATGCCAGCCGGCCCTGCCCCCTGGTGGGCTGAGCTGGTCTCTCTCTCTCTCTCTCTCTCTCTCTCTCTCTCTCTCTCTCTCAAATAAATAAATAAATAAAAATTTTAAAAAAAAATTCTATTTTCAGAGAAACAATGCATTATTGTTAACTATAGTGCCCCACTGTGTAGCAAAACATACACACTTTCTCTTCTTATCTAACTACAATATTACCTATTAATCAATATTCTCTCCATTCTCTTCAGCCTGTAGTGACTACTATTCTAGTTTGTATTTTTATGAAATACTAATTTTGGACAAATATTTTACTCAAGTAGTAAAAGACTTTCCATTAGTAAATGATTCTTGATCAGCTCATTTTCCTCTTGAAAAACCATATAAGGGACCTCTCATATTAAACTTCATACAATTTCACATGCATCCAAATTTAAATGCAAAATAACAAAACAATAAAATCATTCTGAGGAAAGATAGAGGTCTACATATACAATATACATTTGTTTTTAGGGACATCTTTGCAGCCAAAAATGGAAACACAGAATTTATTAAGATACAAATGTGTTTTGAATTTTCTAAAATTGCTCAAATTTTATAAGTCAAAAGGTACCATACACAAGGTCCATATCTGAGGGAAAATACATAGAAGTGATAGGAAAAATGTTAACATCTATACTATTTTAGGCTGGCCAGATAGCACCTGCTTAGGCAGACACAGAGGCCAGGGATTCGATCCCTGGCCTGCCATGCCGGCCCTCCCCTTGGGGCACGCTGAGATGGTGAATGAGACTGGGCGTGGTGGTATGCACCTATAATCCCAGTGCTTGGGAGGCTGAAAAACAGGAGAATCTATGAGTACTCATAGTGAGACCCTGCAGACCCTGTACTAAATACAAAAAAGAAAAACAAAACAGGCTCTATGTAACATCTATACTATTTTAAAAGTTCATCATAAATTAACAAGAAAATAACTCAATAGATAAATAATGTTTCACTTATCACTGGCAAATAGGGAATTTTCTAACTTTTTGGTGACAGAATCCATCCTGTAGAGAAAAAGAATTTGTACATAATAAAGGTGCTTACTACATCAGTATTTGTAATTGGGAAAGTGTGACCCCCTAAGAGATTGGCTGACTACATGATAGTAGATTTCTTAGAAATCCATTTGAAGGGCCACTGAGATAGCTCAGTGGACTAAGCTCTTGCCTAGGCAAACACAGGGGCCAGGGTTCAATCCCTGGCACCACATGCCATGCTGACCCCATTGTCCAGCACACTCAGCCAGGGATGGAGTCTGGGCATGGTGGCACATGCCTGTAGTGCAGCCCTGGGGAGGCAGAAAACAAGAGGATTACTACGAGTCCAAGCTGCGTAGTAAGACCCTGCACAAAAAAAAAAAAAAAAAGCCATTTGAAACTATCCATTAAAGTTCTCTGTGTGTCTGTAGGAGTTTGGGGAAATGTATCAGGGTTATTAACACTGATTACAGGCAGGGGAAGTAAAATGATAGGAGGCACGGGGCAAGGAGATGGAGATGAAGGCAAAAGAGAAAAGGAACGAAATTTCCCACAGCAAAAGTATATATAAAATTGCAATTGTGCCTTTATAAACAATTATATAGTAATATAATGGAAAATACACTTTTTAAAACATATATTTCTTTTGTTCAAAGTTGTATAACTAAGAGTTCCTAAGCAATTCTCAGATCTGATAGCTCAAATTAATGAGGTTTAATGTCAATGAAGTAAATCTGAGGAGTATTTTGGATGGAAATTTTTTAAAATGGTGTGGAGAATAAAATATGTATATGACTGGGACTGTTTACCTATGCTACAGCATTTTTTGCATCAATCTGAATCTGAGAAAACAAACTGATATGCAGCTCAATGATTCTCAAACTTTAGCTTTTCTCAGAATCATCTGAGGACTTGTGAAAAGACTTCTAGATTGTCAGCTGCCTCCTGAGAAAAATTGGATTCAGTAGGCCTAAGGTAGGACTCAAGAACTTGCATCTATAAAATGTTCCCAGGACAAGCTAGATAGCTCAGTGGACTAAGCACCTACGTAGGCAAGCATAGGGGCCCAGGTTCAATCTCCCATACCACATGCCCCACCGGCCCCACCCCTGGCCCTGGGGCAGGCTGAGCAGCCACTGAGTCCAGGCATGGTGGCATACCCGTGTAATCCCAGTGCTGGGGAGGCTGAAAATAGGAGGATCACTTAAAGTCTGAGCTGTGAAGCAAGACCTTGTATCAAATACATTTTTTAAAAAGTTCCCAGGGAAGGTCAGTGTCACTGATCTCAGCAACACATTCTGAAAACCAATGATCTAAAGCAAGCAAACATCCAAATAAAGAAAAAATGTCCCACAAAATGCCCTGTTAATACAATTATACTCACGTTTAAGCCAGCTTTCTTCCAATAATAGTTGCTATACTGGTTAATCATGCACTTAGTTTTATCTTTAAACTTTTCTTCTGAGTCCACAGACCACCAAGGATCTAGGTTTCCATTTTTATCATATTTTCTACCTAGCAAAAGGAAAGTTAAAAAGTATTTGTGTTATTTATGGAAATGGAATTCTTTACCTTTCCCTATCCTTATATGTACAAGCTTTCAAAGCGCAGTCACAACTGCAGGGAACACTCTTCCTGAGAATAGCCCCTGCATTCTGTCTAATGTCATGAATTAACTGTAGAAAAAGGACAAAGGAAGAAAAAGATTGAGAAAGTTCTTTTCTTCTGAGGGCCAATGAGATTCATCAGTTTAATACATACACCAGTCTTATTCAATTTTGGATTCTGTATTTTCACCTAATCTAATCTGAGATGTTCTCTGGATCATAAAACAAAATAGCTTTATCCAATAAGCCCATGGAGAAAGCCAGAATGTGATGACCAGTGAAATTCCAAACAGTCCATAGGAATAGACCCCAGTGAGTCATCCACACCATAGGACCATACTTCCTGACTCGGCCGTACAGGAATCTGTTTCCTCCAAGTTGCCAGAAGCCAAGAGATACATAAAACCTCTTTTATGAATCATTCCATAGTCATCAGTGTGGATGGGAGACCCATCTGTCCTCCTTAGACAAGGATGGCTGCTCTAAAAAAGAGAACTTGGAACAAGAACGGAAATCTCCAAAACATAATGTGGAAAAAAGATTAGTTATACATGACTTCTTGCTACATGTTCACTCACTTTTCATTTTCCCTACAACCTTCACAACAACAGTTTGGATGTATATAGACTATCTTCTATACTCAAGTTTACAATTGGAGTCAGGGGAGTGCATTGCATTTAAAATAATGCACAGAACCTACAAGAATGTCCCCTAAGCAAGAGTTTTCTAAGAAGGAAAATTTACAAGAAAGGGGCTTATAAGAAAACCCTCAGGCTGGGTATACAGCTTAGTGGCATAAGTGCCTACCTGGAAAGCTGAAGGTTCCAAGCTTGATCCCTGGTAAAAAAAAAAAATGAAAGAAAAAAAGACAGAAAGAAAGAGATAAAGAAAAAGAAAGAAAGAAAGCAAGCAAGCAAGCAAGCAAAGAAGCAAGCAAGCAAGCCTTCTATGCAAGACACTGATTAGAACAACCCATAGCTCTCCAGCAAGGCTGCATGTTACTACCACTTCTTTGTGGAATACTGTATGTATGGAGTTATCACCTCCCATCATTAGATTTTGCTTATTTGGGAGAGATGCCAGAAAGCCTCCAGGTCTCAGGTGAGAATTTTACTTAACTTTTCTAGGAAAAAAGGTTCAGAAACAATCGAACACTGTTATGGTTTAGATCTAGAATATCCCTCAAAGACTCTTGTTTTCAGAGGTGAGGCACTTGCAAAGTGAGTGCATCCCGGGAATGTTATACTCAGCTGTGGATTAATCACTAATGCATTCATAGCTGATTTGCTATTAGGAGATAAGGCCTGGCTGGAGGTGGCTCACTGGGGAAATGTTCTAGACGGGTGCATCTCCCTGCTCAGCTCCTCCCTTCTCTCTCTGCTTCCTGGCTGCCGTTATATGAGCAGCTTTCCTCCCCCAGCCCTTTACGCCTTGGGGCCAGCCACAGAACCATAGAGCCTGAAACTGGGAGCCAAATAAACCTCTCCTCTCAGTTGTGGCTGTTGGACGCTGTGTCCTGCTGATGAAAGAGCAACCAAGACAAGCACCATTTGCTTTTCTTTCTTAGTCAAGACTGCTCCTCAGATAAACAAACATGCAAAGGCAGAGTACAGTTCGTGGGACTCAGATGACTACAAGACTGCAGCAGTTTAACAGGAGAGCAAAACACTAGGTGATTAAGGGTTGATGGAGTGAGAGTGAAGGAAGAAACGGCCAGAAGAAAAAGAGCCCAGGGGGTCTCTAACCCAGGAGTCAGGATCATGTGAGATACTATGCACACGAGGGAAAGAGATCTCCCTTTAGACAGCATTGTCTTGGGCTAGCTGGGTTCTTGAGACAGCCTATAAATCACTATATGGATGTAGATGTGATAGCCATTCATAAGCTTCAGAGGTTTCTGTAGTTTTCCAATAATATTCTAAAGGAGTACTGATTAAAAATGATGACTCTCAAAGGCAATCACTTCTTTAGGCTATATTACGTTCTTTTGCTTAAACATCATAAGGATACACAGTACACTATATATTGTGCATTATTAGGAAAGTATAGCCTTTTGAGGGGTATTTAGTAAAGGGTCTATAGGGTCTCATTATGTAGATCCAACTCTTAGTGATTCTTCTGTTTTCAGCCTCCCAAGTGCTGGGATTACAGGCATGCTCCACCAGGCCCAGTCTCAGTCGCTGTCTCAGCATGCCCTGGGGGCAGGACAAGCATGGCACGCTGGGGATCGAACTCCAGCCCTTGTGCTCTGCCTAAGCAGGTTCTTTAGCATGCTGAGATATCTGGTCAGCCCTGAAAGCATAGCCTTTTTGAAAAAAAAAAAATCTGAATATATGTCAATATAAAGAAAAATAGAGGTGAAGCATTGCATAATCCTTGAAATTGTATAAAGAACCAGTCAGCCAAGCTCCAGAGGCCTAACTTGGCAGTGCAGCATGTACAGTCATTGTTGGGGCAGAACTCACACCTCCAGGGAGAACATCTCAAGATGATGAATTAAAAAAAAATGACAAAACAGAGAAATGATAATGCAAAATCCCTGTAACTACTGTGGCAAGTGCAGCAATCCTGATCTAAATGCAAACTATTTCATTACAAATATAAAATCTTTTTTAAAATTGTACTCAGTCACTAACAGGAATTGTTTACTTATTACAATCAATTGTTTACTTATTACAGCAAGTAATGGGGAAAAGTTTTCAATCAGCAATCGTATTTCTTTTGATAATTTTCACTCTGTAAGAATACTTCTATGAACAATATAACAACAGTTAACACCAATTTAGTCAGCATTACTATAAAAGCAACAGCTTAGAAAATGAACTAGTACTTACCATTATTATCAAATCCATGTGTAAATTCATGGCCAACAATTACTCCTATAGCACCATAACTCAGAGATCTGTCATAAATACAGTTTGGAGAAAATTATAAGCATGAGTGTGAGAGCATAATCCTTTAATTTTTAAATGAAAAGCCAAGATAGTCTGTTTTCTACTAACCATAATAACAAACTAATTACCATATACATAAAACTATAAAACAAATTATCTAAATATACCCTTCTAAGTGAAATGAACAAAGTATAAATTCTAACATTGTCAGCAAAGCCTTTTATGTGCCTTAGTATCCTACTCCATGAAAGTAGGGTTATGAAAATATATTGAAAGAGTTCTTTCCATCTCTTTTCTATGATTTTATATACATTCTGGCAATATTTTTATACTTATGAACACTTAAAGATTTTGTCAGCAAGTGTACTTCTTATCTGAAAAATTTGGGTAATCATTATAATCTTAGAAGTTAAGGGGGCCTGCCCATTAGCTCAGTAGTTTAAGTGCCTGCTTAAACAAAACAATCAGGCTCAGGTGCTGTGGTTCAAACCTAGACACTTACACCAAACCAGAAATGCCCTGAAGGCAACTTGAGGCCACCAAAAAAAAACTTAAATTGTTTTCCAAATATAGTCATAAAAAGACCTAGAGCAGAGATTATAAACAATCACTGTTTTCAAAACCATATTCCTCTGTTACTGTGGCAAACAAGCTGACTACTGAATAGTAAAGATTGCAAAAACCTATTTTGATTTGGAAAAGGCATTACCTATGAAGAAGCAGGCAGGTTATGTACAATCGTGGCCATCAACAATTCCACCTCCAATCAAGGGGTGATCTGTTCCCTTGCTCTTGAATCTGGAAGGGCCTTGGGACTCATGATTAACAGAGTACCACAGAAGGAGCCAGGTGTCACTACTCGTCCTAGGCCTTAAGAGCCTTGGCAGTTTGCACTTTCTGCACTTTCAGAAGTTAGCTACAATGAAATGAAATCTGACTACCCATTTGGAAGGAAAGAGGCCAGGTGAAGCCAGGGTGAGATTCCAAAAGCTGAGAAACTCTGAAGAAAAGAAAAGCAACCCTGCCAGATCTCCTTGTTAAAGCCAACCCAATGTGAGTGAAGTCATCTTAGATTAGTGGTGGTGAAGCTATGGCACACGTATGACTGCGTTTTTCTTTTAAGACAAAAGATGTTAATGTGTAAGTTGCATTTTTCTAAACTAAAACAGTATTCAGGCTTAATTGCAGTGTTGGCACTTTGTAATAAGTAAGTAGGTTTTGGATTGCAGTGTGAGCACTTGGTCTCTAAAAGGTTTGCTATCGCTCACTTAGATCTCCCAGCCCTATGGAGTTAACCCCGTCAATACCACAAGGAGGAGGGATAAGCTGTTCTAATATGTAGAATCATGAGGCCATAAATGGTTTCTTGATAGTACTTTGCTACATAGCATTAGAGAACTGAAACAAAATACACATATATGAAGAAATCAAAAGAGGGGTTGTCATTCCTATGTGTCCAGAATTTTCTCTCAATTATAGCTTCCAAGAAGGCCAAACTCTTGTCAACTTCTTCGCTGCTAGCTTATTTGCACCTAGTACACAGTAAGAAATTTAGCAATGATTTAATCAATTATTAACTTTACCATCTAATGCAACTTGCAGATCTATAGACAGCATATTTAAGTCGTTCAACTTGTGGATGAGAGCTATAAACAATTGAAAATCTTTATTGTAAAGATTCTTCATGATATTTGCAATTATGTAAAAAATATGTCGCAGTTGATTCCTGACATGCAATATCAAAGTCACCCAGCTATGATAGGACCCATAACTGGAAAGAACAGAAAATTTTGAAGCAACATGTTATTACAGGACATAATGATCCTTAACATGCTAATTGTTTGTCTCAACTATACCCAAGGAAGTGCTCTAAGATTTAATTTTTCCCCTTGGTGGCAATTCTTTCCTTTGTTATTTCTTTCCTGCAAGGTAATTTGCATTTGAAAAAATACTTCCTACTGTTTTTTCATCATTGCAAACCTTCATTAAAGAAGTAAGAGTAAAATTATGCATTTCAATCATAGGGCTATCATAGCAGTATGGGACAAACTTATAATTTTACATAGTATTAATTTTTGCAGCAGTAGCTATCACTGTGCAGCCTGCAATATTAAGCTTTTTCAGATTTCCTCATGCCTGAAACAAAGTATTCAGTACTCTACAACCTTCATTCAATGCTACTGATTGAATGAATTTACAGAATGAACAATGGAAGCGTATAGGAACTGCTCAGCAATGTATGTCTCTGAGGAGGGAATGCTCCAACAAACTTACGATTTGCAAATGGTAACAGAGAACTCAGAAGATGAATCACAAAGTATAAGTAAGGAACAAAACAGAGGATAGAGAACTGTTGCCCCTCTGCTATGTGCCAGCCTGCCTTGGAGCCAGCTGATACGGACTGAAACACCGATGAACTGTGCCCTGACTAAACCTTTCCTCCTTTCAAAAGAAAAAACAGAGGAAGGATATTAGAAAGCAGGAGGAATTTTTTCAAATGGAAAGGGGAACAAGAGATGGGGAGGGAAGTAGGAAAGAAAGAAAGGGGATTTAGATGAAAAATGAGTTGAAGGAAAAAATAGAAATAGAACGTTTGCAAATTGCATTGTGGGAGGGGAGAGAAAGGGGACAAAAAAGAATTAAGATTGATTGTGTCTGTGCACAAATGTCCCACAATGAATGTGATCATTATGCACGGTGAATATTTACTAATAAAAAGATGAAATTGTTTTAAGTTTCAATTCTGAGTAACAAAATTACATTCTTTTGAACAAGAGACAAAGAAAAAGTACTGTTATTCTATATGACTAAGCTTTAAAATGATAATGTTTCATAATATGAAACGCACATCCTCTATTTTATCAATGGCCATTATTTAAATTAGCATGTCATATAAAAATAAACTCCTAAAATGCAACTGGTTGGCCAGAAACTGGAAGACATCCTGCAATTTTTGGAAGTCTTCCAAGAATAAAATGAAAACATAAAAATTTTACTACCTACTCAATTTTTCCTCTTTCGAAAAATCTTAATTGATTTATTTGTTACAGAGTCTTGCTCCACAGCTCAGACTCATAGTGATCCTCCTGTCTCAGCCTCCCTAGCACTGGGATTACAAATGTGCACCACCATGCCCAGTTTCAGTGGCCGATTTAGGACAGAGCTGTCATGGCATGCGGCACCAGGAATAGAACCCCGGTCCTTGCACTTTCCAGGCAGGTGCTTAGACCGCCGAACTATCTCCCAAGCCCTCAGTTTCTCTTTTGTTCTTACTATCTGATGTGTTAGACATATGTTTTTATGCTGTCTGGATTCAACACGGTTTTATAATGGTGTCAAGTAGGGATAACCTTTATTCCTTCTTTATAAAATCATAAAAATTTTCAGTTTGGAAGTGGGTTTTAAGGTCATCTAGGGCTGGGTTGATAGCTCAGCAGACTAAAGCTCCTGCTGAGGCAGAGCACAGCAGCCGGGGTTCAATCATGCTGGTCCTACCCCCGAGGCACACTAAAATGGCCATTGAGATGACATGGCGGGGCTCGCCTGTAATCCCAGTGCTTGGGAAGCTGAAAAACAGAAGAATCACTACAAGTCTGATCTACGCAGTGAGACCCTGTAGACCCTCTAGACCCTGTACTAAATACACAAAATTTAAAAAAAAGGTCATCTAGGTCAACTCCCTACTAGAGTCATGAGTCCCTCTAAAAACAGTCATTCAAATGATCTTAAGATTCTGGCTTGGAAATTTCCAATGGCCAGGGTCTGATCCCCTTCTGAGATAACCATTCCCTCTTTGGGTAGTTTTAATTAAAACAGCTCTCCCCACTGCTCATCTAAATTTTCTTTCCCATGTCTTCAATGTATTGGCCCAGTGCAATTTCTAGTTAAATACCTACTGACTCTCTTCAATATAATAAATCATTCTGTCACTTTAATTTTCCCTTGAAAATACAAAAACAGTCATAAGGTTCCACTCGTAAATGCCCCAAATTCTTTCAGTTCTTATTTTTAAATTATAACCTCTAGACTAGCATTTCCAAAAATTGAGGGAAAAGAACTTAGGAACCTCTAGTTTATATATGTTTAAATAATTTTCTTTGTTGTATAAGTTCATGTGAACTTTTCTTCTTATGCATATTGGGATTCTCCAAATCAGAGGGAAGAGAAAGATGACTTACCTCTATTACTATTTCATGAACTCTCACTTTGAGAAATGTTGTTTTTGTGCTATGTACAATCCTGATTCTTCTGGAATTGGTTTGGTTTAGTCGTGTCCTAATAATGAGGCCTAATGCTGACATGAGAGCTAAGCTGACCAATGTCAACAAAAACGATACCCACTCCTTTAGCTCATAGTGGCTATCTATGAATTACTCCAGAACAGATGGATAAATGGGTAGGGAAACCATTTGACTACATTGATATTCCCAAGTTTCCAGCATCTCTGTATTCCTATTGCCAAGTACTCAAAAGATAATAGCTATTCAATGGGTAGCTATCTTACTAGATTGATGACTTTGGTAAATACACAGAATTCCATTTGGAAAAAAATACAAATCTCTCTCCCACTCAAGTATCAACTATGGGGCAACCTAATAGATAACTAACATTAATTCTTAAGTTTCTATGATTTTGACAATTATTTAAGGAAGCCATATTATGAACTCAATTTAAAAAATCAAATCAATAACTTCTAAGCCTAACCAAACTGTTTTTCAAGTCTCCAGCCACAAAACCACAGTAATATAAACTCAGTTAAATTGTTAATGATAAGAAGAACAAAAGAATTCTAAGCCTTTTTTATCTTGAAGGAACCTTAGAAAATAATTAACCTAAATCTTTAATTTTATGGAAATATATGCATATACAACTAATCTTAAACTTAAATATAGGGAAAATTAATTGCAAATGTCTAAATGCTAGAAAAAAAAACTGCAGCTGAGACCTAAGATGGTATTAATGAATTTGATTAAATACAAACCTAGAATTTTCATTTATTGTAACTATGGTTATATCTCACAGTAGGCTTTACTGGTGCCTGCCTACATACAGGCAGCACTCAACATTTCTGAGCATTGCAATTTCATCATTTTCAACTCCCAGCTCCTGCAAGTAGTTGCCTAAGGATTTTCTCCAGTGAACAGAAATCTCTTAGCATAGCTGGGTACTGTCACAGAGTCAAGGCCCCTCATAGTAGGCCTCAACCCATGATAGATCATGAGTTGAAGGATAAATCCTCTAGCTTCCTTGTCCCTGAGGTAAGATCACTGTAAAGCCTGCTGCATAGTTCACTGGAAAGCCTGAGTTACAGTTGCTAATGGTGATACCCAGCTTCTTGTATTACACATGTGGTGAGTGCTGTAGAACAATGGCCCCCAAAAGATGTCCACATGCTTGCTATTCTCTGGAAACTGTGAATATGTTATATTACACGACAAAGTAGAAGTGAAGTTGTTAATCAGATGACCTTAAAACATAGATTATCCTGTATTATCTAGGTGGACCCAATGTAACCCCAAGGATTTTTAAAAGTAGAAGGCAGGAACAAAAGACAAGATTCAAAAAGAGATAGGACTATGGAGCTTCGAAGACAGAGAAGGAAGAATATGGGGCAAGAAATACAAGCGACCTCTAAAGGCTAGAAAAGATAATGGTATAGAATTTTTCCCTGATGCTTCCACAAAGGAAAGCAGCCCTGTGGACACTTTGATTTTAACCTAGTGAGAGCCAGGTTGGATTTCAAGAACTGTGCTCTAGTAAATCCCTACAGCTTTAAACCAATTCATTTTGACAGCCACAGAAGACATACAATGTGCTGGCTTCCTTCCTTCTCTGTCTCATTCTTCTCCTCTGCTGGTGTTTTCTGGCACCACCCCCTAAAAGAACTACTTGCACTAGACTCCTCATCACAGGACCTGCTACCAGAGAATCCTAAATCAAAACACTGCCACTATATTTATTTATATAATTATGTAATCCTATGTCTTTTGAACTTTAGTGTTCATAGGAAAGTTGTCATATATCCAAAGCAAAGCACAGGACATTCGGTGATAAAATCAAGGCAGAATTGCTTATGCATTAAGACAGTAGAGCACATAGGCACACAATAAAAGTGGTGATGTTACTGCCAATGAATATTATAAGAATCCCTATTGTATATGGAAATTCTGAACTACATAATTCTACCATCTGCTGTTATTAAAAGCCTTTGAACTGCTAGTCCTATATTCAGCACTATCTTGACCTATTCTATAACTACACAAGTAATATTTTGAAAGACATATTTGATTATGTTACTTGCTAAAAAATTCAAGATTTTTCACTGCTTTTTAGTATCTATTCTCCTCATATAATATCAGAGTTCAATCTTCTTTTGCAGACTACTTTGCACCATTTCCTATTTTATACCACTTTGGACAGCCCAAATGAACTCTTTGTCTTTCTCTAGATATATTTCTCACATTTTTTATTCATCTGAAAATGTCTTACAAGATCTACAGCAATCTTGAAAGTGAATAAAAGCATAAAATGTAAATGGATCTAAGTTATACATGGTGGCACACACCTGTAGTCCCAGCATGAGGCAACAGGATTGTTACAAGTTCAAGACCAGCCTGGGCTACAAAGTGAGCTCAAGGCCAACCTGAGCTGCATAGAGAGACGCTGTCTCAAAAAGACAAAAAAAAAAAAAAAAAAACTATGTATAAGTTGGCCTTCCAGTGTAGTTATATACTCTAGCAATGAAGAAAAGGAAACAAAGAACAAATACAAAATTAAAAGACCTACAATATTAAGAGTAAGCCAACGGGCTGGAGAGATGGCTCAGTGGTCTAAAGCACCTACTTAGAACAAGCTTGGCAAAGCATAGGGACCACGGTACAATCCCCCAGCACCACATGCCAGCCAGCCCCGCCCTCTGGTGGGCTGAGCTGGCCACACACACACACACCCCTCTCTCTCTCTCTCTCTCTCTCTCTCTCTCTCTCTCTCTCAAATAAATAAAAATAAAAATAAATTAAAAAAAAATAAAAAAATAAAAAAAAAAGAGTAAGCCAACCCACATTAGGTTCCATGCCCCGCCCATGTCTGCTGAACTATCACTGACTTCACTTCTTTGACTTTATATTCTGTCCTTTGCTAAAGCAGCATGCTCTTCCTCCTAATTTGTCGCTACTTGGTTTCTTCATCAATTTACTCACCGAGGATATTCTGTCCCCCAAAAGAAAGGCTTCTGTAGCTCTCCTGCTGGAAATCCTAGGAGGAAGACAAACAAAAACTGCTAAGGGATACTGAGAGACTGATTCACTGATGAGCCCATTGTTCTTGCTACAGCCAGGAGCTTCTAGCTACCATGCTTAAAGACCTCGCCTCTCCTCTTGGGACTTGGGGCCACCTAAGAGATTCAGTTGTAAAAGGTAGTGCTAGTTCACTGGAAGCATTTCAAGGACACAATTTTACATAGATATGCTACTGTCAGTGTCCAACCTGCTTTAAACTGATTCCCTCCATAAACTGCATGCACATAAGCCTTCGGGTTATTGGCAACTTCCCCTGATGCAGAAAACGCCCAGCTTCATGGATGTGTGACATGTGCAACCAGCCAAGCCCCACATGAAGAAGCCCTCCATACTTGACTTAATACCCTATTATCACTGTCTTGGAATTCTCAAGAATTTCATCTATGAATTTGTATTTTGTAAATAGAGTCTGAGGGGAGAATGGAATATGTTTGAGAATAGAGGAAACGAACATGATATGTGCGGATCCTAAGTGCCTGGCTGGCAGATACCACTGGTGATTCCTTCTAGGAACTCGGGATTCTGGCAGGCCTAAGATGCACAGGAGCATGTCGAAACACAGAGTGTACGATAAGCATGTTCCTCAGAACTGAGTGAGCTGCAACTTGGAGAGTTCCAAGAGGCTATGATTTCCATGCAAACCAAAAGTTGTATCACTGAGTGAAGGAAATGGTGTTTGAAGAAGCTGAATAATCCCTGTCATACTCTCTCTCATTATTTCACTATACCTGCTAACCTCTTATACTGAAACTGACAACATAGAAGGAAATGAAAAGATAGGCAAGTCCATAATTTCTTTTCCTTTCAGCTTTCCCTTACTCATCAGTACACTGGAAGTAGAAAGTGTTGATTGACTATATATGGATGAAGAAGTAAAATGGGCACCTTGCCACTTGGGCAAATGCAGTCAGGCTCATAGGACCACGGTTCAATTTCCAGCTCCAGAAGCTGCACCAGACCCATCATTAAGGCAGGCTGAAGTAGCCAAAAAAAAAAAAACAGTCCTCAAATTTTAGGGCCAGCCAAATAGCTCAGCGGATTAAAGCACCTGCAAGCAGGCTCATGGGCCGGGGTTTCAATCCTCTGGCCCACTGTGCCGCCCCTGCCCCCAGGGCACATGGAAATGGCAATTGAGACTGGGCATGGTGGTGCACGCCTGTGATTCCAGCACTTGGGAGGCTGTAAACAGGGGAGTCACTATGAGTTTGATCTAGTTGTGAGACCCTGAATACCCTGTAGACCCCTCCCTAAAATACAGAAGAAAAAAAAAGAAGTAAAATGAAAATGGCTGAGATCTTTCTGTAGAGCCATTCTACCTTGCTGATAAGGAAAAAAACATATATGCATAAGCTAAAAAATGCAGAGTGTGTCATTTTGACAATTCCATATGCATGTTAAGTGCTCCACAATTTTCACTAAAACCTACATTATAAAATATAAAGGTTAACAGAAAAATGCATGCTGTTACAAAATGTCAGTTTTCTTATGAGTAGTAAATAGCAAATTAAAAATACTATAACAAGTCAAAAGAGAGATAACATGAAAGAGAAGACAAAGCTTTATATTTTAGCCTAAAGTAGCAATCTTCTCTGCTTTTTAAGAGGTCTTGTATTTTCATTTTGCACTGGGTCCTGCAAATCACGTAGCCAGCCCAGGTACAGACTGCTGGGAGAAATGCTTGGTTTTGCCCTTGTAACTTGCTGCTAAATTTTGCACTATGGGTTGATCCTAGGAGTTGCAGTTACAAGTCACAACAGAGAGAGAAATACAGAGAGAGAGAGAGAGAGAGAGAGAGAGAGAGAGAGAGAGAGAGAGAGAGAATTTTGCCTGCTTCAGAGAAGCTGCTCTAGATATCATGAACATGAACCTGAACGTTTCTTTTACAAGTTAAAGTGCCCAAAGTAAGTGAGTTCCTTGGTAGCGAAATGAACAACTGGAATGAGGAAAAGACAAAAAGAAG